CTATGAGAGCGGGTGGTAATAATCCGGCCAAGATATTGGGTGATAAGTGGTTTAAAATAGGGCAGGAGAGAAGGAAAGAAATCGGCTTTGGTGTTGGTGGGTACGGACACAATGCTGCTGTAGTGGGTGGGCCGAGAGGACGGGTGGCGATGGGTAGAGTTGTGGGGGAAGGTGGAGACGGGCAGTTGGGGTTGGCGAGGGAGAAGGGGGTAGTTGGGGAGGAAGAGGGAGTTAGGGTGGATCCAAAGAGGCGTAGAATGGATGGTGAGGTTGGTGGTGGAGTGGAAGTGAGGGTGGACATTGAGCCAGACAGCTTATGTTTGGCGAATTCTGGGATTGAGGGTAGTAGGGGGCACCGGGTGAGAGAGGGAGTGGTGATGGAAGAGGATATAGCAATGACCGATGTTCAAAAAAACTTACAGATGGCGGGTGCTGCGGTGCAGACCCGCCCGACCCAATGAGTACATTGAGCTGGAACTGTCGTGGCTTGGGTAATCCACGGACAGTTCGGGAAATTGAGGACATAGTGTCCCGCAAGAAACCCGATTTTATATTTCTGATGGAAACCAAGGTTAACCGAGATCATGCAGAGCGTCTTCGGATTAAGCTGGGTTTCGAAGGCCTTTTTAATGTGGATAACGCTGGGTTGAGTGGAGGACTGGCATTGTTGTGGAGAACGAATGATACTGCAAGAATAATGGGTTATTCAAATAATCATATAGATGTTGAAGTGAGTGTGCCAGGTTTTGATAAGTGGAGGATGACTGGTTTCTATGGCTTCTCGAAGCGTCCACAGAGAAGGGAGTCGTGGGATCTTATTCGGTCATTGGCAAGTAGGTCGGATCTGTCATGGGTAATCATTGGAGATTTTAATGATCTCTTATACCAGTATGAGAAGCGGGGAGGGAATCCCCATCCAGACAGCTTGCTACGGGGTTTTGGAGAAACTATTGAGCAGTGTGGTTTGACACAATTACCAATGTCTGGATATCCCTATACTTGGGAGAAAGGAAAGGGCACGCCAAACTGGATAGAGGAACGATTGGATAAGGTTTTGGCTACTCAAACCTGGGGAGAGTTGGTGGCTGATGCAAATGTGCAGAATATATTAACCCAGAAATCAGATCATTCCTTCCTTTTCCTTGGGATTCTCAATCTTCGGGGAAGGAGGGGTGTTCAGAGAAGGGGTTTTCGTTTTGAGATGGCATGGCTACATGATGAGGGGTGTAGGGAGGTGGTGGAGAAATCATGGGGCGAAGGAAGAAGTAGGGGGTTGCAGGAGTGTGTCACCCTATGTGGTGATTGGTTAACACGCTGGGGTGGAGACCGATTCCATAAATTTGGTGAGAAAATTTTGAATTTACGTAAGGAACAGTTGCGCCTCAGGGGGTGTACGGATCCGGTATCCCTAGCCGAGTTTCGAAGACTAGATGAATGTTTGGCTCATGTTGAATTACAGGAGGATACGTACTGGAGACAGAGGGCCAAACAGCATTGGCTCAAGGATGCAGATTCAAACACCAAGTTTTACCACATGTATGCTTCTCATCGAAAAAAAAAAGAATGCTATTACTAAAATTATGAATAGTGATGGGGATTGGATTGAGGGGGAAGCCATGACAAATGTAATCTTGGATTATTATCGTGGTATTTTTAACTCGAGTTCTCCTACTATTGATGATGAGTTCTTTGGGAGTATACATCCACGTGTAACAGGCATGCAGAATGAGAGTTTATTGCGCCCTTTTGAAGAGAATGAGGTTAAATCTGCATTGTTTTCAATGTATCCTGATAAAGCACCAGGCCCGGATGGTATGAACCCGGGGTTTTATCAACACTTTTGGGATGTAGTGGGCACTGATGTTTCTTCTTATATTCTGAATTGTCTGAATACTTGTTCAATGCCTGATAAATTAAATGAAACAAACATTATTTTGATCCCCAAGAAGAAAACCCCGGAAATGGTTTCTGATTATAGGCCAATTGCCTTGAGTAATGTCGTTTACAGAGTTATGGCAAAGATAATTACAGCCAGGATGAAGCCACTAATGGAGAATATTATATCTGAATCCCAGAGTGCATTTATATCTGGAAGGCTAATTACAGATAATATCTTAATAGCTGCGGTAGTTGGCCATTATTTGAACAGGAAGCAATGTGGACTAACAGGTTGGGGGGCTTTAAAGCTAGATATGGCTAAAGCTTACGACCGTATGGAATGGTCTTTTTTGGAAAGGATGCTGAGGGCACTGGGATTTGATGAAAGATGGATAGAGTTACTGATGATGTGTGTAACCATTGTGTCTTACAGTGTACTGGTAAATGGTTCAAGGACTGATCAAATAACCCCGACTCGTGGTTTAAGGCAAGGTGATCCCCTGTCACCTTATTTGTTTATTATTTGTGCTGAGGGGCTTTCGACATTATTAAAACAGGCACAGGCAAATGGAGAGATACATGGCTGTAGAGTGGCTAGAGGAGCTCCCTCCATTACCCACTTATTCTTTACTGATGATAGTCTGCTTTTTTTCAAAGCAAATGTGCAGGAGGCGGGTGTGATAAAACGTTGTTTGTCGAAATATGAAAGGATGTCTGGCCAGGCAGTTAACTATCACAAATCAAATATTTGTTATAGTAAGAATACTTGAGGTGAAATAAGGGAGGGGATTGCTGGTATATTGGGAGTAGTGCAGGCTCAGAATTTTGGAAAGTATTTGGGGCTTCCATCATTTGTGGGCAGGAATAGAAGAGTGGCATTTTCTTATATTGAAGACAAAATAAGGCAGAGGATTAACTCGTGGAATAAGAAACTTTTGTCACATGCAGGAAAAGAGGTTTTATTGAAAAGTGTGGCACAGTCTATGCCTACCTTTTCGATGAGCGTTTTTCTACTCCCTATGACTCTGTGCACTGCCATTGAGCGAACCATGAATCGATATTGGTGGAGATCGAGAGATGACCAGGGTATTCATTGGAAAGCATGGGATAAACTGTGTATCCCAAAAGAATATGGAGGATTGGGGTTCAAAGAGTTGCATGCCTTTAATCTTGCAATGTTGGGCAAGCAAGCGTGGCGCTTTCTGACACAGCCTCATTCATTGGTTTCAAGAGTTTATAAAGCCAGGTACTATCCCACTAATTCTTTCTATGAAGCATGCTTGGGAAATAATCCAAGTTTTTGTTGGCGAAGTATTTTGGCGGCACAAGATTTGGTTTGTGGAGGGGTTAGGCGCAGGATTGGGGATGGCAAATCAACTTTGATTTGGGACCATCCATGGTTACAAGATGTGAGTCAGCCGAAAATAGTAACAGAAAGACCACCCCAATTGGCTCAGGCAAAGGTGATGGGACTGATGGACCAACAGACAGGAACCTGGGATCAGGAAATTCTAACTGATATCCTAGACCCTGAGGATGCAGAGCGAGTTTTAAAAATACCTGCGTCACCAGATTATGAGAATTTGTGGTATTGGTATGGGGACCCAAAATGAGAATATTTGGTTAAAAGTGGCTATAGAGCAGTAATAGGTGAATGCACCCAAGCGGTTGGGGCCTTTGATAAATGGAAAATATTATGGAAACTTGAAGCCCCCCAAAGTGGAAAACATTTTTGTGGAGAGCTCTAAATGATATTTTGCCCACTACAAAGAATTTACTTATAAAGAGAGTTGATATTGATCCAACATGTGCCATGTGTGGGATTGGGCATGAAGATATTGTGCATTCTTTGATCACATGTGATTATTCGACAAACATTTGGGCACAATCCCACTTTCCAATCCCAAATAGTGTCACAAATATTTTCAGTGATTGGTTTAATGATTTGATGAATATTTTAGATAATGATGGAATTATTTATGCAGTGGCGCTCTTATATTATATTTGGCGTGCAAGGAATGGGGCTGTATGGGAGGCGGCCTTGCCCAGGCCACGGAAGATAATTGCAATGGCATCATCAGCTGTGAACGCTTGGAAAATAGCCCATTCTGGTCTGCGTCCGCTAGCCACCTCCGCGGCATCAAGCACCCGGACTGCTCCCGTGGTGGACAGTCACACTGCTGCGGCAATTCCTTCGGTAACAGCCACCGTTACTGCTGTACCGATTATACCACAACTGCCAATGCCGAACATGGAATACCAAGCCACGCGAGACATGAAGGATCAATGTTACTTCGATGTGGCGTACGACCCACAGACAAACAAAGCGGCGGTAGGAGCTATTATTCTAAATTGGCAAGGACATTATGTTTCGGCTATGACTGCCCCTATGATAGACTGTTTTTCACCCCTAATGGCGGAGGCCTATGCGTGTAAGGAAGTTTTATCGTGGTTAAGAAGCCGTGAAATAAAGTCTATCGACCTCTTCACGGATTGTTTGGTGCTTCAACAATACCTATCATCTATGACACACTCGTCAAGATCGTACTTGGGTTATGCCATTGATAGTTGCAGGACTAGTATATTATATTTTGATTATTGTTTACTTCATTATGTTCCTAGACTAGATAATTATTTAGCTCATGCTTTAGCATCTACTGCTTTTACTAAGTCAACTATTATGTACTCGGACTATGATCCACCAGCATCTATTTCTGCATATTTTGAATAAATGTCATAAAGGCTCCTTTCAAAAAAAAAAAGAATACACTTACTTTTATATATATATATATATATATATATATATATATATATATATATATATATATATATATATATATATATATATATATATAATTTATTTATATACGAACATGTTCGTATTGTTAATAAATGTTATGTTATATAGTTTTTATATTATGTAATTATGTGGTGTTGGTTTAGTTTGACTGAGGCTCTCTATTAGTTAGGAGAGTTTCCAGTCAGTTGCATTTTATCTGCTGTAATTCTATTCAGTTACAATTAATCAACAAATTCAAACTCTCACCTGGTATCAGATAGGATCCCAATCCTCTATTCTCTCTCCACCCAAATCACCGTAGACCGTCCGATTTGCCTCCGAGATGTCGTCGCATTCTTCCGAGCGCACAGTGACCGCCGGTGGCTCCCCTTCGCCGGCGACCACCAATTCCCTCTCCGGCGCCCATCACCATGTTTCCATGAAGCTCAATAGCCGAAACTTCTTGTTTTGGCGAACACAACTCGTCCCCTTCCTCCGGGGGCAGGATTTACTTGGATTCGTCAATGGATCAATGCCATGTCCGCCATCCACCATTCCCGCTGCATCATCCAACGACTCCGGCTCCGGCGCGACGACAACGACCGCCACCATCCCAAACCCAGCGCACAAAGCCTGGGTCTTGCAAGACCAGTCGATATTGTCCATGCTCATCTCCTCCATGTCCGATGAAGTGCTCCACCTAGCCGTCGGACGGGAGACCGCCGCAGAGGTCTGGATGTCGATCACCACGTCCCTTGGTTCATCCACCGAAGCGCGCTGCCTCAGCCTTTTAGACCAATTCCAGATGTTGAGGCAAGGGAATCTGTCGACTGCGGAGTACTTGGGGCGTGCGGAAGTCCTCGTGGAAGCCTTGGCTCAGGCCGGACGGCCACTGTCTTCCACCGAACAGAACTTATATGTTCTACGTGGATTACGTCAGGACCTGCGAATCATGGCGGCTTCGCTCACAGCCACCAACCACTCCATCTCACTGCCGCAGCTTGCGGATTTCTTGCAGGCGCAAGAATTCATCATCTGATGGAGTGGGCGATGGCTATCGGCGACGGCAATGGAGGTCCTCCGCAGGCGCTGCATGTGGGGCGCGGTCGCGGGTCCAGTGGAGACGGCGGACGATCTGCAGGTTCAGGGCAGCAGTGGCGAGGCGGCAGAGGCGGTAATGGCCGCCAAAGCCGTGGCAGAGGTGGCCGGAATGGCCGCGGTGTGCCTAGGTGCCAAATTTGTCGTGCCCAGGGTCACACGGCAATATATTGTTACAAGAGGCACACGACGCAACCGCCGGCGGAAGCCCATGTCGCCACTGCCGGAGAACTACCGCCGGCACCTTCGGTCTCATCGGCGGATGGATGGTACCCCGATACCGGTACCACCGCGCACGCTACGCCGGATGCAAGCATGATGTCCCGATCGGATGAGTACACCGGGCCGGATGTGCTACGAGTCGGGAACGGCGCAGGTTTGACAATCTCACGTGTCGGTCATGCATCAATCCCGTCCATGTCCAAATCGTTAAATTTGTCCAATGTGTTACATGTTCCATGTCTGTCGGTCCCTTTACTTTCCGTACAAAAATTTACTAAAGAAAACAGTGTTTATTTCGAATTTCATAACGACTGTTTTATTGTGAAGGATTCCAAAACCAGGGCCACTCTGCTTAAGGGGCCAACATCAGGGGGACTATACAAGCTTCCGTTGTCAAATACACAGTTTGCGTTCGTCAGTTCTCGTGCCACGCAAGGCGTTTGGCATCGAAGGTTGGGTCACCCGCACGGAGTTGTCCAGAGTCGCATCTTAAAAGACTGTCCAGTTTCACCAAATAAATCCAAGTCCACGAAGTCGTGCTCGGCTTGTCACCTCGGTAAGTCGTCTCGGTTTAAATTAGATAGAATTCATAAATCTAGCACCAATGTTTTAGATTTAATTTTTACCGATGTATGGGGCCCGGCTCCGGTAGTTTCCACTAGTGGTCATCGCTACTTCTTGCTTTTTGTAGATGATTACTCTCGGTTCTGTTGGTTTTATCTGTTACGGGTAAAATCAGATGTTTATAAAAATTTTGAATTGTTTCGGGTGTTGGTAGAGCGGCAATTTTCCCGCTCTATCAAGTGTATTCAGTCGGATTTAGGGGGTGAGTATAGAAAACTTCATACCACATTCCAAACACTGGGCATCAATCATCGGCAGTCATGTGCCTACACACATGAGCAAAATGGGCGAGTAGAGCGCCGTAATAGGCATATTGTCGAAACGGGCCTTGCTCTACTTGCTGAGGGCTCAGTACCACTTGAGTATTGGGACTTTGCCTTCGAAACTGCCACTACTCTAATAAATTATCTACCAACACCTGTGCTGAATTTTGACAGTCCCTACTCTCGCTTACATAATGTGTCTCCTCCATACACGTTTCTTCGAATTTTCGGGTGTCGGTGCTATCCCTATCTCAGGCCATACAACCGGCATAAGATAGAATATCGCTCGGCACCCTGTGTCTTTCTTGGCTACCCCCCGTCTTTTAGGGGATATAGATGCATGGACCAGTCAACTGGGAAAGTTTACATCTGTCGTCACGTGCGGTTTGACGAGACGGTGTTTCCGTTTTCAACTCGGATACCTTCTACGTCTACTCTGCCCGAGTCTCTTCCGTGGGCGTCCGGGCCCATAGTCCCACGACTTGCCCTGACGGACTCACCATCAAGCATGGTCCCGGTTCCCGAGGCGGAACCTGTGCCATTGGCACATGAACCCGCGCCTCTAGCTGTCACTGCACCACCCCGTGCCCGGACCAAACGGCGTCGTATCGAGCCCCAGGACCGAGCCCATGTAATGCGTCTCCGTCACCAGACTCGGGGCTCTGGCGAACAGTTTCATGCTTTACATATAACCACTGATCCGACTTGCTACTCCCAGGCTGTAGGTCATCCACAGTGGCGAGAAGCCATGGATCAGGAGTTCAATGCGCTGCTGCACAACAGCACTTGGCGTTTGGTGCCACCGAAGCCACATATGAATATAATTGGCTGCAAGTGGGTGTTTCGCACCAAGCGTACGGCTGACGGGTCAGTCGAGCGCTATAAGGCACGACTGGTGGCCAAAGGGTTCAACCAGGTAGCCGGCGAGGACTTCTTCGACACATATAGCCCGGTGGTTAAATCGACCACCGTCCGGATGCTTTTTTCTCTTGCTGTTTCGTCCAACTGGACGATGCGCCAGTTAGATGTCCATAATGCCTTTTTAAATGGACATCTAGCCGAAACCGTGTATATGAAGCAGCCTCCTGGTTACGAGGATCCAGAGCACCCGGATCACGTGTGCCATTTGCAGCGCTCGCTTTATGGGTTGAAGCAAGCCCCCCGGGCTTGGTTCAAACGGCTTCATGATTTTCTACTGCTTGCAGGGTTTTCCTCGTCAAAAACAGATGTCTCATTGTTTCACTACACGTCCGGCACATCTCGGGTATTCTTGCTTGTGTACGTTGATGACATCATCATGATGGGGAATGATGCTGTGTTGATCAATACCCTGCTACAGCGGCTTGCGTCCACCTTCAAAATCCGTGACCTTGGCAAACCAGGTTTCTTTTTGGGCATCGAGACCATATCTACAGATAAAGGGTTCATACTTTCTCAACGGCGGTACATGACAGACTTACTTAGTCGTGCAGGGATGCTCGACTGCAAATCTCTCACCACACCAGCATCGGTCACAACATCAGTCATCATGGCAACATCCGCTTATGAGAACCCAACGCACTATCGGCGCATTGTCGGGGCACTACAATACTTGACAATAACATGCCCAGATTTGTCATACTCTGTGAATCGTCTATGTCAGTTCATGCATTCACCTACTGACGAGCATTGGGGCATGGCCAAACGGGTGTTGTGCTACATCAAAGGCACTATCAACTATGGCTTACGCATTACTCCGTCTGCATCCACCACTATACAGGCCTTCTCCGACTCAGACTGGGCAGGTTGTCCGATTGACAGGAAAAGTACCAGTGGCTATGCTGTGTTTCTCGGTACGAATCTCATATCATGGTTATCCAGGAAGCAGCGAACAGTAGCTCGGTCATCCACTGAAGCCGAGTACAAAGCGCTTGCTGATGTCTCCGCCGAGGTCACTTGGGTTGTGTCACTCCTCCGTGAACTTGGGCTTCATTCTCCCGAGCCAGCTACTTTATGGTGTGATAATCTTGGGGCAACATATCTGTGTGCGAATCCCGTGTTTCATGCCAGGACAAAACACGTGGAGATTGATTACCACTTTGTCCGAGATAAAGTGGCCTCAGGAGACTTTGTCGTCAACTTCGTTTCCACCAAAGACCAGCTAGCAGACATCTTCACCAAACCACTCACAGGACCTCGGTTCACGCTGCTTCTTCGCGACAAGCTCAATGTCGTCTCACATCCACCTTGAGCTTGAGGGGGTGTGTTAATAAATGTTATGTTATATAGTTTTTATATTATGTAATTATGTGGTGTTGGTTTAGTTTGACTGAGGCTCTCTATTAGTTAGGAGAGTTTCCAGTCAGTTGCATTTTATCTGCTGTAATTCTATTCAGTTACAATTAATCAACAAATTCAAACTCTCATCCGTATGAGAATACCCTCGCACATGAGAACATAGAACATATCTAAGCTCATAGCCTTTCAAAAAATATCTAAGCACATACAATTGCCAAAAACGATCCATTAAAATCTTTTTGATGAACAATTAATCTTGATGTGTTCTCATATGGAAAAGTGATTTCATATGATTATAAATAAATAATATATATATATATATATATATATATATATATATATATATATATATATATGTGTGTGTGTGTGTGTGGGGGGGGGGGGGGGGGGGGGGTAAGGGTCGCAAGTGATATATTTATTTGAAGATCTGTATTCTGTATCTTGGTGGAGGTTTTGATAGTACGTACAACTGCGCAATAACTATCTATATTTTGTGACACTCATTCTTTTGATTATGCCAAAGTGGTCCTAAGCACATATAGGCAGATGCAGTGTGATAGTATTAAATGGCGGAAAGTAACTCTCCATTAGGTTCTATTATTTTCAATTTTTTTAAGTATGCTGTCAACATCATATTGCTAAACATCTCTTGTCGGACCATCTATCACTCAATTCATTTTCCGCCATAATTAATCTTCTTGTCCACATGATTTTTTTTTCTCCTTAAATTAATTTTTTTTTTTTAGTAGAATTAGCATGATGGTGTTTTCCCTAAAATCTGCAGAGTTTTTCTTACTCCATTGTTTACAATTTCTTCTTATAGGCGGAGCCAACCTGATAAAAGTAGTACGTGATGATAGTGTGACAAATTTAGATGAATATAATGTACCTAGCTATAACTATCACTTGATCCTGTTGGGATTAAATTGTAGAAGAAAGATAAGAAGAAGAAAAGAGTAATATGACTGCAGAAGCTGAGAAAGGTGTATATTACTACGTGTAATTAAAAGCTTGAAGCAGTACATGTACATAGAAGCCTTTATATAGTCTAGGCAATTAGCTACAATATAGGATCAAGATATAACATGCCTGATGTATAGCAATATATAATAGGATAAATAACAATATGTATTGACTAGTCTAAAAATAAAAATAAAAATCAGAATTACAATCTATACTATATATAATAACAAAATCCTGAAATTTTAACTTCCCGCCCAATTCCTAAAAATTCTTTCTTTCCAATAAAATATTTTGATTTCTACTTTCCCATTCGTACAATAATTCTGTGTTAAAGTTGTGAAGTGTTAAAAGTTCGGCAAGGCAAAATTTTTGACTTGGTTTTCCGTTTTGGACAAATGTTGTTTTGAAATCACGTATTTTTTCGAGATCTATTCACTGCAAACAGCTGTTGGCGGTTTGGTCCACCAATTTCTAAAAAAAAAAATGCTTTTTTAAATAGTTCCTCAGCAAAAAACTATGAGAACCTTATGTTTCATTAATGAATTTTTAAATTTTTTAATTAAAAAATTGTCCCGTACATTATTTAATAATC